GTCTCTGACATCCTCTGTAGGAAACAGGAGTGAGCTGTGGGGACGGTCCTGCACAGAGCAGAGGCTCGTCACAGCCACGAAACGGGCTCCGCTCCCTTTCCTCATGCAGGTCGCATCTGTACTTTCCCTCCGTTACCGTTCTTCAGCCCCACCCACCTGGCTCAGTGGATGGAGTAGCCCATCTGGTGCAGCTTCAGCAGCAAGTTGTGCGTAACATCAAACGTGGTGAAGCTAATTCCCACTGCGATGGGCCCTTTCACCCAGTTCATGCTCAGGCCTTTGTACAGTCCACGCCTGATGCCTTCCTGCTTCACAATCTCGCGCATGGTCCCCAGGATGGTAGTGTAGGAGGAGCCGATCACGCCGGCTGTCTGCATGCGCCGGCGCACAACATCCAGAGGGTACGAAGCCGACTGTCCAATCAGGCCCGCACAGGCTCCAAACGCTAAGCGCTCGTAAGGGTAAGGCTGAGATCGCTTCGTCTTGTCTAAGGTAAAACAGATGGTAGGGTTGGAACTGACTGTTATCTACCAATCTTACTTTAATTAATTAAAACCAAACATGCAAAGACAGAGAAATGGCGAGTACCTGCGTGGAGCTTTTTGAGGGTCTCATAGGTAAAAAACGTGATCCCTGCGTATGGGATAACACCCAAGATGGTGGGAGTGAAACCTTTATACAGTGTCTTTACACCTTCTTCTTGGGAGATGCGTACAAAGACATGCATGATGTTACTGTACCTGGAAAAGACAAACAGAAATAAATTTGAGAAATAAGTTTTCTATTAAATGCAAAGTCACAACAACTGCAAAGACTAGCATGTTTTTGTTTTTTATTTATGTAAGGGTGACATAAGCATTAATCAAGAGTAAGAAAAGTCTTTCCTGGAGCCAGTAAAGGATTCTACGCTCAAAGTGATAGACAGTATGATGAGGACAGACCACCCACATCATATTTAACAGAGACAATCCCAACATAGTCCAGTTAGCAAAGAGAGATTTAGAGGGAACTCCTCTTTTCACCAAACTGAAAGTCAAAGAGTGAAATTAAAACTCAAATTCTGAATTTGACTTTGTAGCAAAATTTAAACGGCACTTTTAAACCGTAGTTTCACAAGATTTATGTGGATCTTACANC